TTTTATCCATGTAATCTCTAGTAACCATTTAATCTCTTGTATCCGTGTAATCTCTTTTATCTATGTAATTTCTTGTATCCATGTAATTTCCTCATCTATGTGGTTGTTTCTTGCATCCGTGTAATCTTTTGTGTCCATGTAAACTTTTGTGTCCATGTAAACTTTTGTTTCCATGTAAACTTGTGTGTCCATGTAAACGTTTGTGTCCATGTAAACTTTTGTGTCCATGTAAACTTTTGTGTCCATGTAATCTGTTGTGTCCATGTAAACTGTTGTGTCCATGTAAACTTTTGTGTCCATGTAAACTTTTGTTTCATGTAAACTTGTGTGTCCATGAAAACTTTTTTTTATCCATGCAAAGTCCTATGTTATCATGTAATGTCCTATGTTACCATGTAATGTCCTATGTGACCATGTAAGGTCCTATGTTACCATGTAATGTCCTATGTGACCATGTAAGGTCCTATGTTACCATGTTATGTCCTATGTGACCATGTAAGGTCCTATGTTACCATGTAATGTCCTATGTTACCATGTAATGTCCTATGTGACCATGTAAGGTCCTATGTTATCATGTAATGTCCTATGTTACCATGTAATGTCCTATGTGACCATGTAAGGTCCTATGTTACCATGTAATGTCCCTACTCATGTAATTTCTTGTACCTAAGTAGACTTTTCTGTATTTAACGCATTTACTGAATTCGTGAAGATATGTCTTGTATCTATGTAATGTCCTGTGTCCATCTAATCCTTTGTATCGATGTAATTCGTTTGTATCCATGTATTTATTTCTTGTATAAATTTAATCTCTTGTTATCCAAGTAATTTCGTGTATCCATGTTGTCAATTACTGTATCCATATAATTTCTTGTTTCTTTGTGGTCATGTCTTGTATCCATGTAATTTCGTGTAGTGATGTCTTGTATCCATGTATATCCATGTAGTCATGTCTTGTATCCATGTATATCCATGTAGTCATGTGTTGTATCCATGTTGCCATATCTTGCAGACATGAAGTTACTTATTGCATCTATGTGATTTCTTGTATCCATGCCATCATTTCTTACATCCGTGTAATATCTTGTATCCTTGTAGTGAGCTCTTGTATACATGTAGTCATTTCTTTTTTCCATATAATTTATAGTATCAATGTAAAATATTGGATCCATGTCGTAATTTCTTTAATTGATGTAATTTATTGTATCCATGTAGTCATTTCTTGTACCCATGTAGTTATGTTTTGTTTCCATGTAATTTCGTGTATCCGTGTAGTCATATCTTGTATCCATGAAATTTCGTGTATCCGTGTAGTCATATCTTGTTTCCATGTAATTTCGTGTATCCGTGTAGTCATATCTTGTTTCCAAGTAATTTCGTGTATCCGTGTAGTCATATCTTGTTTCCATGTAATTTCGTGTATCCGTGTAGTCATATCTTGTTTCCATGTAATTTCGTGTATCCGTGTAGTCATATCTTGTATCCATGAATATCCTTGTAGTCATGTCTTGTAACCATGTATATCCATATAGTCATCTCTTGTATCTATGTATATGCATGCAGTCATTTTTTCTTCTGCGTTCACACTATAAAGGACAGATGGCATGTTATGTTGTGGTTTACAGGAGGAACCCGATATTTGCTTTTTCAGCCACTTCGATTCAGAAAATCACAAATTACTAGCCCTTTATGCCATGCTGGAGACGGGCAGGCAATATAAATTCCCACTCCACACACATGTGATGCATCGAAACCCACAAGAGGAATATAATCATTTCATTCTACAGAAACTTCCCAAAAGCCATTATTGTCAATGGTAATCTAGCCCTGCGGCAGCGTCCGTGGCTTAGGCGTTGCGAGTCCGACTCGTAATTTTAACAGCACTGCTGGCTGCGTGGATTTTTATTGCGGAACGGGGGCGTCGCAGGTCGACCCAGCCTAAAATTGGTACCAGAATGTATGTCCTGTGGGAGAAAAGACGGTCAGCCTAATGCTGACCACATTACCCACCTAGTGCCGATTGGTCAGTAAAAATATGGGTGCCTAAAGGCGTAACAATGGATCTTTACTTTTACTTCACTAATGTAATCCTATCGAAACTGACTGTAAGTGGGCACACACTCAAAATTTACGACATATATAATGATTGCTGTGTCTACCAATGTTTATACTGCTCCATACAAGATGTGCATTTATCTACCAGCTCGATACATTAATGATGTCACGGTGTCTATGATAAAATAACATGTATCTGTCTACCAGCTCGATACATTAATGATGTCACGGTGTCCTTGATAAAATAACATTTATCTGTCTACCAACTCGATACAATAATGATGTCACGGTGTCTATGATAAAATAACATGTACCTACCAGATCGATACATTATTGATGTCATGGTGTCCATGATAAAATAGCATGTATCAGTCTATCAGCTCCACACACTCATGACGTTATAGTGTCCGTAGCAAGATGTCTTGTATCTACCAGATTCATACATTGATGGTGTAATGGTGGCTGTCATAGGCTAGTTTGGCGGAATTTATCCTCGCCTGGAGATCCCCTATAATCCCTCCTAAATGTTTTACAGGGCTTGAAATAAAATAGTCTAGGGGAAATTTATTGGTCCTTGAGTTCATAGAAAGGAAGGGAAATTCAGATAATTATATAAATAGGGTGAATCCCCGGGGAAAAAAAGCTGAATAAGTATATATTCTTCTAAATAAACTTGTAAAAATTCAATACACTCCTAATTGAACTCAAAGGAACTAAAGAGTAGAATACTTCATCAAACAAGGAATTCAAACAGATATTAATTGACATAATCAGATATTTGAGTTATACTAAATCAACACATTTATTGACACCACCCAATCCAGAACACACATTTCAATTATTCAACAAATCAAAGAAAAACATCATTTCACACCAAAGCAATCCACATCAATCTCAAACGTCACTCAGTTCGTGCGGGTGGAATACAGCATTCCTTGTCGAATGGAACAATACAACTTGCAACTTTAGTAGCTCTTGGCTGTCTGTCCTTAATGTGTAGTCTGTTTAGTAAAATTCAGATCTTAGTTCTTTTCATTGTACAGCGTTGGCAATCTAGGGTGGTTATAAGGAATCTGGAAAATACATCAATTGTCCTTTTGGTGAGAATTATGCTGACACATCTGTGGTGGGTAGAAGTGTTGCGGTGTTTCTGGTGTTATCAGAGTAGTTAGGGAGAAGAGTAAGGTATTACGTACACTGTCTTTCTCCACGAGCATAAAAAACATCAATAATAAACCTCTCTAACATTTTATAATATTGTTTGATACATATACAATTCTTTGCACTATCATATAAAACTTGACATGATGTAGTGGACACACGCTCGCGTGCAGATTGGACAGTCGTGAGTTTGAGTGCTAACAGACCCAGGTCGACTTCGCCTTGAATGGACACCAGGTATAGTCATGGGAAGCAAAGGCGGCAGGTGTGATGTTGACCACATCAACGCACAGGTGTCCATTGGTCTAAAAAACACATGTCCAGCCCCATATGCCCATACAGCTGACGACGCGACAAAGGTTCCCTCCCTGTTACTCAATTTTTATGTTTCATTTTATAATAAATATACGCAATGTAGGGTATATACAACTGATGATACCGCATGGCACAGGATGATAGTTTATACTAAGATCCTTACGCAAGGAAACCAAATGAATATTCTCAGAAAAGATGACAAGGTTCACTAATGAATTATTCCAACCGTGGATAGTAACCTAAGGAACATCATAACATGTAGGAACTAGTAAGTAGTAGTAGTTGTTACCATTGTCCAACAGACAAGTATCAAGGTTGACGAAGTCACGGAATATTCATATAAAGAATTAAAGAATGGTAGAATCTAGATAAAATATTTCAGGATACAGCCAGGGTTTACAGGGGATCTCAGCCACTCCCTACCATTATAAATCTCACATGAATTCGTAGTATTATTATATCTTTTTTAGCTAAGCCGATGGAAAGGCTGGGGCGGTTGATCTGTGTAGCAACGAATCACTAGATCTAGGGTTTTGTCCCCTAGTAGTAACAGAGAAAAAAATTTCATAATTTATGTGCTTCTTAACGCCGTCTTACATTTACCACTATTCCCGCATCTAAATTAATTTAAAGTGCGCAATTGTTTCAACCAACAAGATGCAATAAATTCTTGCCGGACTGAAATATTCCGTTGGTTTGTCACAGTGGCAATGATAAAATAACATGAAATTATCTACCAGTTCCACACACTCATAACGTTACATTGTCCGTAGCAAGATGTCTTATATCTACCAGCTCCACAAATTGATGATGTCATGGTGTCCATGATAAAATAACATGTATCTATCTACTAGCTCCTCAAATTGATGATGTCATGGTGTCCATAATAAAATAACATGTATCTATCTACTAGCTCCTCAAATTGATGATTTCATGGTGTCCATGATAAAATAACATGTATCTATCTACTAGCTCCTCAAATTGATGATGTCATGGTGTCCATGATAAAATAACATGTATCTATCTACTAGCTCCTCAAATTGATGATGTCATGGTGTCCATAATAAAATAACATGTATCTATCTACCAGCTCCACAAATTGATGATGTCATGGTGTCTATGATAAAATAACATGTATCTATCTACCAGCTCCACAAATTGATGATGTCATGGTGTCCATGATAAAATAACATGTATCTATCTACTAGCTCCTCAAAATGATGATGTCATGGTGTCCATGATAAAATAACATGTATCTATCTACTAGCTCCTCAAAATGATGATGTCATGGTGTCCATGATAAAATAACATGTATCTATCTACCAGCTCCACACACTTATGACGTTACATTGTCCGTAGCAAGATGTCTTGTGTCTACCAGCCCTATACATTGATGGAGTAAAGTTTTTATTTTTTTTATTTTTTATAACAACGTGTTCTTATCTATCTGGCTACCAGGTCGATGGGAGGCTGAGTACAGTTATGGGGGAGAGGCTGACCTTCACCGACACTATCACAGCTGTAAGAAGAATCCAGGTCACAAATATTTTATCCCAGTAGACAAGTTTTGTATAAAAGATCTCCCAGAAGGCTACCGTCACAAAGATATGATGGATTATATCCGAACAGAGTCAGATCTGACAGTTCGTGTGACGGTTCAGTATGTCAGTGACATGAGACCAGAGACTCTTCCTGGAAGTGACAGACCGTATCCAGGTTATGATTACAAAGGTCAGCAGAAAATGACTGTAGGTACTGGATGGGTTCACTACGTACAGTTCTTCAACTGCCTTGATGGAGTTACTTGCAAGTGTCAGGATTGTCATAAGTCTTCAGTGCCAGAGACCAAATTTGCCACCATTAACATAACAACTGCAACCCATGTAGTCTTTGATGATCTAGAAGGAGCCCACACAACATGTCACCTGTTCTTCGATAGTGGAAGTACACCAGACGCCTGTAGTGGAGTCGTCACACTAATGGGCATGTCTTCTAGATACAGTGAAATCGACACCGACTGGTGTTATATGAAGCATTTCACGCATGATCTGGACCTTGCACGTAGACTTGACCGGTCACTGGTGCTAAGAGATAAATTAAGACCTGCAATCTCTGCAAAAATATCCATGATCAATGTCTACAGGCGAAGACTGACCTCTGTAGAAAAAAAGCCGTTGTTGTTTATAGTATCACACCCCCACGGATGCAGGAAACACATTAGCATAGGTCACTGGACGAGTGTCAACAACAATAACCCAAAGGTGTTTTCCTTCGAGTACACTACACCAACTTGTCCTGGCTCTAGCGGAGCTCATGTGTATATGCCCTATGAGTTGTCCCCAGACAGCTTGTGTACCGGATGGTTTAATTTTCCTGGCAGCCATTGCGGGTCTCTTGATGAGCAGCTAGGAATCAATTATTGTAACGTTGAAAGAGGTGAGTACACTGTACCTGCATATGTACTTATGTTACTGTGTGTGTGTGTGTGTGTGTGTGTGTTATGACTATTATGGGGTACCCGTGTTGGACTACCGGTAAGGGGATGGGGTTTTTCTGTCGCAGGCAATATTAAACATCCTACCCTGCACAGTCCTTGGCTACAGCACTATCCATGCGGCCTTATATTCTCGGACCCTCTTGTCTAAAAAAAATGGTACGTACAGACAGTAGTGAGTTTTTTTTATATTTTTTAAAAATTACAATTACACATAAAACATTGTGTACATGTAAAATACATTGTGTTTGGCCTATAATATCACATATAACAACTCTTCTTGGATGTACAAGATACATAACTTGCAAAATCCTGAAATACTGAAGTGCCTAACAGTGTTAAAAACCATGTGCATTTTTAAAACCATAAGTCATTTTATTTTTTATTTTCTGCGAACCAGTCACCAATAAATTCCAGTTCATACAGCAGTAAAAATCACAAAAATTGCCCCTGACAGTCCCATATGCTTAATGGTGAGCAAACATAGGCCCGGAAAAAATCCACAAACATGCACATGCCAATAATGTATAAGCTGACTGAGGAGATAATAGCACGTCTGCCACTATTCTTGAAAATCGGTCTGTACACACGTAATACGTCCTATAATTGCATAAAGTATTTATTGCAACTAAGGCATCCATACTTCAAGAACTGAATATTGAAGAAGGTTGGCTATAAAAGACGGTAAAACACAGAAAATTGAAATATTTTGGTCACTGCTGCTTCTTCTTCTTCTTCTTCTTCTTCTTCTTCTTCTTCTTCTTCTTCTTCTTCTTCTTCTTTTTCTTCTTCTTCTTCTTCTTCTTCTTCTTCTTCTTCTTCTTCTTCTTCTTCTTCTTCTTCTTCTTCTTCTTCTTCTTTTTTTCTTTTTCTTCTTCTTCGCACACATCACACACTCACACACACACGCGCGCAACACCACACTCTCTCTCACACACACTCACACACACACACACAAGCACACAACTGTACATCATGGAGAATGTTGCAGTTGTACAGATCCTGTATTTTTGAATACCCAAGGTTGTAATCCTCCGTTATCTATGTGTATCAGCTCCCGAGAAAGTATAAACGCAGCTATTTGACCTTTGTATAGCAGGCAACCAGTTAATTAAATGATATTAAAAAGCGGCATACACACATTTCCTATCATCGTGCGTGTTGTCCATCAAGATGATGACGACCACTCTTTTTCATCAAGTTTTAGTACGAAGATCACTGATGAGGCCGATGCGGATTCGAAAAGTTCCTGGATAGTGAGGACAGGGAATGAGCGTTGAGCCAGGAAGGGGATCTCCTACAGTCGCCTTTCTGTCCATCCTTTTCCTAATAAGTCTTGCTGTAATGTTGTGAATTCCCAGGGAAATCCCAATGAGTTCCCGATGGGGAGGACAAGGTCAGAGGACCAGTGATACAAGAGAAAAACGAGATAAGTGGGTCTCATGTATCCCATGGTGAGCGAAATAGGGAATACAAGAAAAGCGTGAGACTGGAATGAAAGACGTGAACCGAGAGACTGTAGTAAGACAGTTGAAGTTCGGACCTGGTTGCGAGAGGTCGTATGAACGGACGCATGAGGAGAATAAGGAATTGTGAATACTTGTTATGTTGCGAGAGGAGATATGAATGTTTCCCACGTGTCTTAATACCGAGTACAAGGTTTCGTTATAGGATGGATGGACGATTCAAAAGAGGCTAATGGATTTATGTAGTGTGTGAGAAGTTTGACCAGGTCGTCATAATCAGCCAAGCAGAACGAACACGAGGACGGGAGAATGTGTGCCTACGACATGTTGTGATTCAGCGAATAGAAGCATGTAACACAATTTTCGTCTCTGCTGTGTCGTAACAACTTACTGTTCGTCAGAAAGCAACGTGGCTTACCAAAACATACCCCTACCATAGCACATTGCACTTGCTGTTCTGTTTGCTTCACATGCAGCCGCACCCTTGTGTAGAGCTGCACGTCGTGCATTTCGGTCTTAAGAGGCAGCCTCCCAATTAGTGTCATTCATTCCAAATGCTTTGAGTGAGGACTTCAAGGTGTTCGTAAAGCGTTTCTTTTGCCTGCCTTGGGAACGTTTACCATTTTGCAGCTCACCATAGAAGAGTTTTTTTTTTTGGGGGGGGGGGGGGGGGGAGGAGTCTGTGATCTGGCATGTGTGCCACATGACCAGCCCAACGAATTTGAAACTGCATCGGTACAGTGTGGATGCTGGGCATGGCTGCTTTCTCAAGGACAACGGCATCAGGTACTTTGTCTTGCCATCCTATATGCATTAGTTCTCTAAGGCAGACTGTGTGAAAGTGGTTTAACTTTCTAGCCTGTCGCTGGTATAAAGTCCATGTTTCGCATGCGTACAGCACTGTAGTTAATTCAACTGCTCTGTATACTTTAAGCTTTGACTGCAGGGTTATGCCACATCTGTTCCAAACAATTTTGTACAATCTGCCAAAGACAACGCTAGCCCTAGAGATCCTTGCATTTACTTCGTCATCAAATGTGGCACTCTGTGAAAGGGTGCTGCCTAGATATGTAAATTCACTGACAATATTTAATCTGCAGCCATTCACTGTGATATTTGGCTCGATGTATCTTTGCCATGGGGCTAGCTGTTGCATGGCTACAGTTTTATCTTTGTGTATGGTGAGCCCACATTTTGTACAGGCATCACTGAGTTGGCATAAAGGACACAATCGTCGGCAAACAGGAGCTCCCTGATGGTGTCGGATTTAGTTTTTCTTTTTGCTTTCAGCCTCCTGAGGTTGAACAGCTTTCCATCCATATGGTAATTAATGTTGATTCCAGTGTGATCCTTTACAAAGGCATCAGTCAGCATGGCTGAAAAAAAACAGACTGAACAGTGACGGTGCAAGCACGCAACCCTGTTTGACGCCGTTAGTGACAGGAAAAGACTTTGACAGTTCGCCGTTATCCTTGTACTCTTGCTTGCATGCCATCATGAAACTGACGCACTATCTGGATGAACTTGGGCAACCTAATTGCTCCATAATCCTCTACAGTCCATCTCCATTTACTGTGTCAAACGCATTCGTAAGATCAATAAAGGTGGAAAACATATTCGAATTCTGTTCTTGACATTTCTCTTGCAGCTGTTTAGCAGCGAAAATCATACAAACAGTTCCACGATCTTGTCTAAAACCACACTGACTTTCAGGAAGGAGACCTCTGTCCAGATGAGCTGTGAGACGACCTAGGAGAATCCTGACAAAAATCTTCCCTGCAACTGAAAGCAGTGAGATACCTCAGTGATTATCACATGACTGACGGTTTCCTTTACGTTTGTACAGGTGAATTAGTACAGTGTCCTTAAGATCCTGTGGAATGGTCTCACTCTCCCAAATTCTTTGAAATATCTTGTGTAGTTGTTCAGTCAGAACTGGACCACCCACTTTGAAGACTTCAGCTGGAATAGCATCCACAGCATCGTAGACTCGAGGATACTGACAGGCAGATAGACTGACTGGAACGTACATCCATTTGTGGGTGTACTGCATGTGCACAAGGAAGGCTGATTTCACACCCATGGGACAAGGCAACTGGTGAAACTGAAGATACTGAAAATACGTACCTGTAGAGAATGTTGCAGCTAGGAGTGACTTTGGGCTCTGGGTGATGTTGCCCACATCACGCCGGTCACTTTTCTTCCCAGGACTAGACCTGGACCCACTCAACAGTTTATTCATCTACATTCTTAAATATATTTCATTTTCATTCTGAGTTGTTTTCAACAAGGTACCAATAACTTGCGTATGTATTAGAGCAACAGTTCTCAGACTGCAGCAACCTTGTCAAAAAAAAATATAATGTTCCTTTGCCTTTAATATAATTAAACAGAGGGGGAACGTTTGAGGTCGTTTAAATATTATAAATTAATCAAGTAACAGAAAGTGTATTGATCGGCACTCATAGAAAGAAGTAGGAAGATAAAAGAACACACTAGACAACATAAAAATCGAAAGCTATAGTTATTCTTCTATCTTTCTACTTCTTTCTATGAGTGCCGTTCAAAACAATTTCTGTTACTTTGCCTTTAAATGCGATTAATAAAACTGTTTTAATGAATTTTTTAAATTAATTTCCTTTATGTTTATGTGAAGTATGCGAACGCTTCGTAATGCCGGGATGCCGGGTTCGATCCCAGCTGCGGGCCATGCGCCTTCCGTTGGTTTCGACAATGGTATCAAGAAAGCCGACTGTCCAGAAAGCAATAGCAAACTAAAAAGTTAGTTGCGTATCCTTTACAGGGCTTTGCATAACCAATCTCAACAGCCCCTGGCTGTTGTGTGGTTTTTCTAGGCAAATTTGCGTCCAGTGGTTTGCCATTGCTTTCTGGGCGTTCGGCTTTTTGCCTTGAAAAACCACACAACAGCCAGGGGCTGTTGGGGTTGGTTCTGCAACGTCCTGTGAAGGATACACAACTAACCTTTATGGGAAGTTTGGTTGATTCAACCCTCAAATAGGCGTACGCTGAGAAAGCAGCCTTGCCAATGGCATTGTTTTCTGAATACACCTGCATTCAGAACTCTTCTTGACTTCCTTTACGGTATTTCTATTTTAAACTACTGTCTTCGCTGATCTCAAGCAGATTTGGAAAAATTCGTGTTTATTTTCCGCGAGAACTCGTTTGAGAACAGCTTCATTAAAGGCAGCTACAGAACCAACCCCAGCAAATTTTGATTGCATTTTTTGTATTCTTGGCAGTTTTACGTTCAGCACTTTACCTTTCCCTCTAATAGCCGGCGCTCGCTACCATTGTCGAAATCAACGCAAAGATGTTTGACTGCTAAATAGCCTGCCGCTGAAATCGAATCTGGTGTTTGGAAATTACAAACCTAACGCTTAGCCACAGATGCATAATTGAATATCCAGGCATGACTCCGTACTGCCATGTAGGCATGACTCCGTACTCCTATCCAGACATGACTCCGTACTCCTATCTCCAGACATGACTCCATACTCCCATCCAGACATGACTCCGTACTCCT